GGGCAATAAGCACATAAAAAGATGCTCAATATCACTAATCATTAGGGAAATGCAAATCAAAACTATAATAAGATACTGCCTCCCACCCATTAGGATGGCTACTCTCAGAAAAACCAACAGAAAATAAGTGATTCTACTGATGTGAGGCACTTAGAGTAGTCAGGATTACAGAGACAGAAGGTCGAAAGGTGATTGCCCTTCTACTGGGAAGATGAAGAGTTCTTGTTTAATGGGGACAGTTTCAGCTTCACAAGATGAAAGTCTTACGGGGATGGATGAACGTATTTAATACTACTGAACTGTGTACTTAAAAATAGTTAAGATGGTCGATTTTATCAAGATGGCGTATTTTACGACAATAAAAAAATTATGCAAATTATACAAATACACGCTTTTTTACCTTTTACTTACATAAAAGAGTAAAAATTTAGAAATAAAAATGTTAAACATACACCTACACCTCATGAGCCAGCCAGTCTACTCCTAATTACTCAATACAAACGAAAGCTACTAAATCCTGGGGATAGAACGACAGCATGGTGGGGGCGCCTGGGTGGCTCAGTTGGTTAAATGTCTGATTTGGGCTCAGGTCATGATCTCACAGTTTGTGAGTTTGAGCCCCGCGTCGGGCTCTGTGGCTCTGTGCTGACAACTCAGAGCCTGGAGCCTGTTTTGGATTCTGTGTCTCCGTCTCTCTCTGCCCCTCCCCCACTCACGCTCTGTTTGTCTCTCTCTCTCTCTCAAAAATAAAAAAAAATTAAAAAAAAAGAACTACAGCATGGTGACTAGAGCTAATAATGCTGGATTGTATATTTGAAAGTGGCTAAGAGAGTAGATCTTAAAAGTTCTCGTCACCAGAAGAAAAAATTTGTAACTATGTGTGGTGATGGATGTTAATGAGACTTAAGGTGGTGATTATTCTGTGATATATGCAAATATTTAATTATTGTGTTGTACACCTGAAACTAATATGCTATATGTCAATGATATCTCACTATAAATAATTGATTAATTAAGTAATTAAGAAAGCCAGTGTGCATGTGACAACCTGTACATGAATGTCCATAACAGTTTTATTTATTTTATTTGGGGCTAAAAATATTTGCACTATCCAGCCAGAAAGAGACATGGAGGAGACCCAAAAGCACAATGCTAAGTGAAAGAAGCCAATCTGAAAGGTTACACACTGTAGAAGTCCAACTCTGACATTCTGGAAAAGGCAAAATTATGGAGACAGTATAAAAAGACCAGTGGTTACCAGGGTTTAGGATGAATAGACAGAACACAGAAGGTGGTTAGAGCAGTGAAAATACTCTGTATGATACTATAATAATGGATATAAGTCATGTCCAAACCCATAGAATGGATAACCCCAAGAGTAAACCCTAATGTCAACTATGGATTTTGAGTGATGGTAATATATCAATGTAGGTTCATCAACTGTAACTAATGTACCACTCTTGGGAGAATGTTGCTAATGAGGGAGTCTGTGCATGGGCCGGGGACACAGGGGTACCCTCTGCACCTTCCCCTCAATTTTGTTGTGAATCTAAAACTACTCTTTAAAAATCCTGTTTAACATGCTATACACATACACTCACTCACACACACACACACACACACACACACACACACACACACCTGACCTGAAGGATGGCAGATAAGGAATTAAGGACCTCTTGTCCAAGCCCAGCAAAAGGCTAATAAAAGAAATACACAAGAAAAAAAAAAAAGAAGAAAGCAAGTCTCAGAACAATCAACATAATGTGATTCTATTTATTAAAGTTTCAAAAGTACAAAGTTATTGCAACTATAAAATAAAGGGAGTGACAGATACACCATCAGGATTGTGGGTGATGATCATGGGGCAGGAAGTGTCATCAGAAGGGACCCACACCATACTTCATGGATAATGGCAATATTCTATTTCTTCCACTGGGTGAGGGCACAAAACTGCATATTGCATCATTAGTCTTTAGACCTTCACATCTTTATAAATATTTTTATCTACTCAATAAAAAAAAAAAAAAAGAAAGAAAAAAGAAGCACCAGCCCACTAGTGACAAGCCAGGTGCAGCTGGGAATGGCATCCCAACTGGTGTTGGGATGGGGTGAAGGCAGGGACTTGTCCCAGTTCCCCATGAGGGTTCTGGGATGATCTTGGTGGCAGGGCTCCCTCCGTGAACTGGATTTCAGTCTTCATAAGCACATCGCAAGGCCCGAGGTGGCTTTTCCCCACTAACTAGTTCATTGATTAGGCTTCAAGGGAGTAAAATTTCCCAGAGACCGTCGTAGGAATTTAAGTGCGGAGAATACGATAGCTTCGCCCCACATCTTCAGAGGCCATTTCGTCTCACATATTGAGATCTCGTGAGTTGTTGCAGACGGTACAGAGGAGGGTCTCTATCCAGTCATGGCAGTGGCAAGGGCACTGTGGCAAGGGCAGTTAAGTTGAAAGGATGCCAAAGAGAGGGAAAGATCTTTGTGGTTGGTTTAGAAGCCCCTTAAAGACCTATCTAACCCCGGGACTCTGTTTTAGGGAGTGTTAGGAGTGGAGGTCCATCTAAACACATTTCATTTTCTTAATTTTTATTAGATCCGGCCAAGAATTTTCTTCCTCTTCTGAGGCTTCAGAGTCTTTCACATCACCTCAGCTGCAGGGCTCACTGCCTCACTGACTCTCCCCACGCCCATATTTTCAACCCCCACTGGAGTCCCTGGGGCCACCTGCACAAAAATACATGTCTCTCAGATAATGGAAAATCTATTCTAAATGCTTATTTTAGATTGAGAAGTATCCGTTCTCTCATGGCCATGTTGCCAACAGGTCTGCTCTGATCTGTGGTTTTTGCACAGCTGAAGGGGCACGCTGGCCCTCCCTCTGACTTCAAGCAGGACTGCATTCTCCCATTTCTGATGATTTGTTTCATCTCAACGTGGGTGTTATGCTGGGGAGGGGTGAGGAATGTGGTCCCTGTGACCAGAGGCCTGGGCCCTGCCATTAAGTAGGCCTTGAACAAACAGCAAACATTCGGAGGCAAGGACAATGATTCCCATAAGGCCACCTGGAGCTGAAGAGAGATGCTAGGGCCTCCCTATCGCCCTTATTCCTGCGTCTCCTTAGGTTTCTCAAGCTATCAGATGCCTCCTATCTCTGATTTCCTCAGGATCAGTGGCTCAAGCTTTGGCCCTGGGCCTGCGCCCTGGGCTTACTGCTGTGTCTTCTAGAAGTCAATGTCCTTCTTTCCTCTCCTCTTTCCCAGGGGGTTCTCTCTGCTGCATACTCAGATTTCCTCTGAGACTGGATATTCAGTTAAAAAAATTTTTTTAAATGTTTATTTATTTTTGACACAGAGAGAGAGAGAGACAGAGCATGAGCAGGGGAGGGGCAGAGAGAGAGGGGGACACAGAATCCGAAGCAGCTCCAACCTCCGAGCTATCAGCACAGAGCCCGACCCGGGGCTCGAACTCACAAGCCGTGAGATTGCGACCTGAGCTGAAGTCAGACGCTCAACCGACTCAGCCACCCAAGTGCCCCTGAATATCCAGCTTTAATCGTGCCACAGAAAAAGCCAGCAGAGACATGAGACTAGAGAAATTTGTGCACAAATCTGTGTGGGCTTTGGATGGTTGGAGCCTACAAGGGACTAACCTGATATCTGATTGGTTGCCATTACTGATCTTCCCGCTCTGTCACTCTGGTCACTAGAAACACGTAAGGCTTGTGGCAGGATAGGGCAGGACATGTGAATTCTCATCATTGCTCTCCCAGTGAACGTCTGTGTTGCCTTCAAACAATTTCCTGCTTCTTGCCTGTTGTTTCACTAGTGAGATGAAGGGTTAGTGCACTGACCCTTGCCAGAGTGCCACGAAGGCCAAAAGGAGATCAGACAGGTGCTTTGGAAGGTCTCTGAGCTCTATGGGGGAATTCTTGAACAACTGAGAGTGTTACTATTTCATCCATAACCCTTTGGTTGTAAATGATGCTGGAGCCAACCTAGCCGAATCTGAATGATGAAAGCCAATCACAAAGTTGAAAATAGACCCCAGATGCAAGGCGATGAGACAGTTAGATTAACTTCCTCTTTTCTAATTTGAGAGGTTTCATGTTGAAGAAAATCAGTGCGTTAGAGGCTGCAGGAGACCTAAACACAGTCACCATGAAGCTGGGCTGTGTCTGCACGGCTGGGGCCTTCCACTTTTCTCCTACTATGCTCTGGGCAGGCCCGATGCTGCTGGGTAAGTGAAATGTTTGAATGCTGGTGTGGGAACAGAGATATGCCTGAGTTTGATCAAGGGAAAGAAACATGGACTGACTTTGGCCCAAAGAAGCAATGTTCAGGTGGGACGTGAAGGATAGACGTTACAAAGTCCGGTGTGCTGGCTTGAATGGCTCTTTCTGAATATAAAAATCTGCAAGCCTTTCCCATTCCAAAAGTCCCCTTGACTATGATGCTCTCTATTTAGCTATCATCTCAATTCTTTTCCTTCTTTTTCTCAAAGATTTCTTGAAAGAGTAGTTTGCACTTGCTTTCTCCACTTCCTCACTTTTCATTCACTCATGCCTCAGTGCTCCCAGTCTGGCTTCCACTGGAATCAGCTTTGCCCAGGGTGCAGTGACTTCTGTGTTGACTGCACCATTTTCCATTTTTTAGCTCTTATCCTGCTGGACTTCTCTGCCGCATTGGGCAGTGTTGGTCACTTATTCTTTCTTGGCATTCTCTACTCAGCTGGGTTCTACTCACCATTTTCTCCTTGTACTCCATGTACCTGTCTTTGTCCCTTTGGTGTCTTCTCCTCTCTTCCCCTTATAGACTGGTGTTTTCTACGGTTGCATTCCTGCCACCCTACTCCTCTCTCTTCTCACAATCCCCCTAGTGAGCTCATTTATCTCTATAGTTTTTACCACTACAACTATCTATTTAAGAGTCCACAGCCCGATCTCCACCCCTAATTGTGCTTCTGAGTTGCACAGTCCAAGATCAAATTGTGCACGAGACATATCTACCTGCATGTTGCACAGGCATCTCAGCACAATATGACCAGAGCCAAACTCACCTGTTTTCTTGGCTCCCACCTCTCCTGATTGCGTCTTTCGTTATTTCTGACCTTGGCTCATGGCATCCGTCCAGACATCCAGGCCAAAAATTGGGGAGACAACCTAGACACCTTCCTCTCCGTCCTCTGCATAGGATCCATCAGCAAGTTTGGCAAAATGAACCTTCTAAACTGTTCTTAGGGCCAGTGCCTTCCTTGAAACAGAACTAATAGTATCCTAGGACAAGCCGTCATCATTTCTGATTTTGGATAGTCCAATAACTTCCTAAGTAATCCCTGTGTCTCAGCCTTGTGTCCTTAAAATGGATTTTGCACTCTGCAACCAATGCACACAAGGCCCACCATAGCCGGCCCCCATTTCACCTCTTCAGCCTCTACCCTTACCTGTGAGCCCTGTAAATTATGCTGTAATAAACCCCAACCTGCTTATATTAATTCATTCACACACTGGACTCTTACCTATCTCCAAGCTTTACTTATACTGCCTGAAATGGTCTCTTCCCTTCACTCACAAACTTCCTGGTATCCCTAAAGATTCAGCCTAGGTGACATCTTCACCAGGGAACCTTCTTTGAACCCTCCTTTCTGCCCCAGTTGCTGCCTGTCATACCTCTTTGTCATTAATTTCCTCCTCATGCTGAAAGAATCTCTTCATGTGCCTGTGCCGTCCACCAAACTGAGTTATTTGTACATAGGGACAATGCTTTATTGGTTTTGTTTTTTAACCTTGTTGTGTTCATGCTTGAATTTTTAACATCTACACTGTCCCTGCACAACAATTTTGTTGAATCATTTTATTTTATTTTTTTTTTCAACGTTTATTTATTTTTGGGATAGAGAGAGACAGAGCATGAACGGGGGAGGGGCAGAGAGAGAGGGAGACACAGAATCGGAAACAGGCTCCAGGCTCTGAGCCATCAGCCCAGAGCCTGACGCAGGGCTCGAACTCACGGACCGCGAGATCGTGACCTGGCTGAAGTCGGACGCTTAACCGACTGCGCCACCCAGGCGCCCCTGAATCATTTTATTAAATTCATAGAAACAGGACTGGGTGACCATATGACGATACAACGCCGGCCTTATGGCGAGAACTCCAGACATTCTGGTTTCAAGCTGTTCTTACTAGCTCTATGTCGCCTTGGAAAATTCACTTTTTGTATCTCTGAATTCCATTTTCTTATGCATAAAATGAGACGAATACCTACCACAGTTTTTTGAGTGAAAGTGACTGGCAGCCCACAAGTTCATTTTCAAAAAGGAATGGCGGTGGAGTCCAGTTGAGTGACAGCAGAGGAACTGAAAAAGGTAGCATCAGGGTGGTGAAGGGACCTGAGAGCGGAGCTAAAGAAAACACCTGGTACCGATGTAATGAGAATTAGGAAGTGGAGAGGGCCTTGCTAGGAGAAGTTACAGGGTCAAAGAAGAGTACTGGGACTCTGGGAGTGGAAGGGAGCAAAGGCAAGTGGGTCAGGAAAGAACAGATTGAAGACTTGAATATATGTGAACGGCCGTGGAGGCAGAAGAAAGGGAGAGGGATTAAGGGACAAGAAGCAGTCATGAACATGGGGAAAATGGAATTTACTTTGCCTGAGTCAACCATGGTTGAAGAGATGCAGTGAGAAATCCTTAACTGTGTTAACCTGAAAGTAAAGAAAGAATTGTTCCATAGTCACCAGTACAGCCTGGGAGGAGAGGCTTGGGATAGAGAGAAGGACATAGGGAGGGTTCTAGAGTTGCCATGGAAAGTTCAAGTCCAGAGGACATCAAGGTAGAGATGGGAGAGCTCTCCCAAAAGGAAGAGCAAGGAAGAAGGAGACACAGCTAGGTACTGAAAGCTCTTGGGTAGATGATATATTCAAGGATGAAGAGCCAGGGGAATGTTAAGAAAATGAAAATATGGAAGAACCCCCACCCCCCCAAGGAAGGTCCGAGGATTGCAGTAGGTCAAGTCTAAACAGTGAAGTAAAAAGAACACTGATTTTGGACTCAGGTATACCTTACTTTCTTGCTCCATTCTCTTTTTCGAAATTTTGAATAAGTTAGTTAACTATTCTAAGCCTATTTCTTTTTGAGTTATAAAATGAGAGTGAAATCACATACCTACAAATCTTGTGAAGATTAAGTAAAATAATGTGTAAAAGTGCCCAGCAGTGTCCGGCACCCAGTAAGTGTCAGAATCTGACCATCTCCCTTTCCCTTTTGTCTTGCATCTGCCTGCTCTGGGGTCATAGTTGTCTTTGGCTTCTGGTTTCATGCACCAGCGGCTGGATGTCCTGCTGGTGAGTTCACATGCCTCCATCCCCTCCCCACCCTCTTCCCCAAACCACAGTCCGTTCACTAAGAGCACCTGGAAGCCAGTGAATCAAGTCAGAAGTATGGGTCAAGAGACACATATGGGTTTTGGCGTCTCCCCCTTCTCACTGTGAAGAGGACGATTCCCCCAGAGAGGGAGGGCTCCTTGTGGAGGGCAGTTTTCTGTCTTCTTCTTCCAAGTCACAGCATTGTTTTCTGGTCTCAAACCATGCTCTCCCCAGCTGCCAGTTTTGAGACACTGCAGTGTGAAGGACCTGTCAGCACCCAGGACAGCAGCTGCGATACTGAGGAGGACTTGACGAGCCCAAGGGAAGTTGACTTCCAGTTCAAAGGCTACACTTTCAGTAAACCCTTCCATCTGATTGTGTCCTACGGTGAGGTCTTGGGAGGGACTGACCAGTGCAGACCTGTTCTTTCTCCCATTTTCCAACCCTGTCCTTTCAGCCTGACGGCCCGCTCAGGAGGGTGCCCCCAGGAAATTGGCCATGGGATGGGATAGAGTACCCCTCGCCCTTATCCATGGGAGATATGTCCCAAAACCCCCAGTGGGTGCCTGGAACTGGGGATAGTACTTAAACATACTATGTTTTCTCTATACATACATATCTGTGATAAAGTGTAAACTAGGCACAGTAAGGGACCAATAAGAGATTAATGACAATAGCTAATAATATAGAATAGTTATAACAATATACTGTGATAAGAGTTATGTGAATGTGGCTTCTCCCTCTCTCAAAATATCTTATAGTACTAATACTCATCCTTCTTGTGATGATGTGAGATGATAAAGCGCCTATGTGATGAGATGAAGAGAGTGAATGACATGAGCATTGTGATATAGCGTTAGGCTACTATTGACCTTCTGATGACATGTCAGAAGGACAATCATTTGCTTCTGGACTGCAGTTGACTATGGAAAGCCAAACTGTGGTTAAGGGGAGACTACTCTACCTTCTTCCCCATATTCAGCCCACAAAAGTGAGGGTTTCCTCAGTCTTAGCTCCTAGAGAAGTTGTTCCACAATCCCAACCAGGGGTTGGGTCCCTGAGAAACTTTAGACGGGGTCGGGGGGCGGTCTGTGTGGGCAGCACTGGGGGAAATCCCAAGGAAGGCAGGGGGTCACACTCAGCTCTTGCTTTGGGTCGCAGACTGGCTGATTCTCCAAGGTCCAGTCAGCCCTATATTTGAAGGAGACCCACTAATTCTACGCTGCCAGGCCTGGCAAGACTGGCCACTGACCCAGATCACCTTCTACCGAGATGGCTCAGCTCTGGGACCCCCTGGACCTAATAAGGAATTCTCCATCGCCGTGGTACAACAGACTGACAGCGGGCACTATCACTGCAGTGGGATCTTCAGGAGTCCTGGTCCCGGGAGCCCAGAAACAGCATCTTCCGTGGCTATCAAGGTCCAAGGTGAGACCTGGAGGGAATAATATTGTAGCAGAGGCAGGTAGGGAGACACAGAGGGACCAAGACTGTCTTTCATTGGATGTGGCGAGATTACTGGAGGCTAAGGAACAGGTTGCTGGCAAATGCAACCTGTTAGGCGTCAGGAGGGGCATCATCTCAGCATTGTGTTCGCAAGTCATCCAGCACTCTCCAAGCTCCGCCCACTTCCTGCAGCTCTATCCTACAGATCCATGTTCCCCAGTGTTCACTGTTTGGGCATCTGGACCATTGTCAGATTTGCCCACCTCTGGGTCTTTTCTAATCTCATCTACTTGAAGAGAGAGAAGATTCCAAATGTTCAAATGGAACTTTTCTAAGAGTGCTCATTGCTGATGGAAATAGGGAGAGGAACATGTGACTGGGTACTTTGTGTACAATAACCTTTGGCTAGTAGGTTAGCACAGCATTTAATAATGACCTCAGCCAGCATGCATTCTACCATGGTATTCTAAATCATGTGGTACAATGTTATCTGCTGTATTCTTTCTTTGTCTAGCATGAATGCAAGATGGCTGAGTGCTTCTTTCCCCCCATCTCTCCTCCAGAACTGTTTCCAACCCCACTTCTCAGAGCCACCCCCTCAGCTGAGCCCCAAGAGGGGGGTCCAGTGACCCTGAGCTGTCAGACAAAGCTGCCCCTGCATAGGTCAACTGCCCGCCTCTTCTTCTCCTTCTACAAGGACGGCAGGACAGTGCGCGGCAGGGGTCTCTCCTCAGAATTCCAGATCCCCAGAGCTTCAGAGGCACACTCTGGGTCCTACTGGTGTGAAGCAGCCACTGAGGACAACCAAGTTTGGAAACAGAGCTCCAAGCTGGAGATCCGGGTGCAGGGTAAGTTAGTAGGTATTTGTCTGGCCTTTGTGAAAAGTGAGGGAAAGGAAGACTGGACCCATGAGCCGGCGTTTGGTGTGAGCAGGTTAAGAAAGGACACAGAGGAGGCAGGAGCAATAATCCAGAGTCTTCCAGAGATGGAAGAGAGCACAGACAGGGAACCTCTCCCTCAGACCATGGTGCACACTTCACCAAACCAAGACCTGAGCCAGCTCCACAGCTGCTGCCTCAGAGGCCTTGTGCTCCCTACCTGAACTCTGGGCATCAGCAGGAACATAGTATCTAGAATGAAGATGAGGTCGTCTGGGGTTTGTGTTCAGTTCTGGGACCCCCAATTAAGAAGGTTGCATTTGGCCTGATATAATATACCCAGAGGAGGTAGCAAGGGCAATGACTGGGCTTAAAGCCACGTCATAAGAAAAATAATGGGGAGGGGTGGAAGATGTTCATCTTGAAGAGGATGTGATCCAAGTGGCCAGCAGAGGTGTCCTCAAAACACTGAAGGCTGGCACAAAGATGAGGAGTTGCACTAAGGTCACATATAGTGAAGAGGTTGACCTAGGACCAGGTACCACATCCATGCTGTAGGGAATTAGGTTCTGAGAGTAGGCTGATATGCGTGTGCCCGTAATGTTGATGCCTCATCACTGAAGAGTTTCAAACTGAGGTAGCCAAGTGTCAGATTCAAACTTTGACCATGAGGGGGTCCTCAAACCTCTGTTGTCATTAGACCTCCCCCCCCCCCGCCCACACACACAAAACAAGAAAGCCACTTTCAGAAAACAAGAAAGATTGACCATGAATATGAGTCTAGGGACACAGCCAGACTTCACTCTTACATGTGCCTCCTACCCCATAATGCAGGACCCTCCAGCTCTACTGCAGCCCCCACCTTGAGTCCAGCTCCTCAGAAATCGACTGTTCCAGAATCTACTACAACCGAGTCGCCTGGACCTCACCCTCCACTGTCCACTCCTTCTAAGAATCCAGGCTTCTCCTCTCCTCTGCGGGTGCCAGACCCCCATCTGAATCACCAGATGGGCATTCTTCTCAAACAAATGCAGGATATGAGAGCTCTCCTTGGTCACCTGGTCATGGAGCTGAGGGACTTATCTGGCCACCTGAAGCTTGAGACCACAAAGGGTCATGCCAAATAGGAGTAAACAACCCCCTCCCACTTTTGCCCAACTACTCCCGACAAACTCAACTTTTTCTACCTTTCCTTTCCTCTTTCTGTCCTATACATGCACAGAATACCCACAAATAACTTCACAAATTGCCCAGTGTTACGGTAGAGTAACAGAGACAGATGAGTAGACATAAATTTGCACAAGGCGATCATTGGAGTCTAACTAGAATTGTGTATCCTCTCACAATGTGACAACATAATCCTGTTGTCTCTAAACCAGGAGTTGCCTTCTGCTGCCCAGACCAGAATCTGGTGATTGAAAGAAAATCAATGGTATGGATTTAGTGCAGCGGTCTCAGTCGGAGGCAAACCCGACCCCCAACCAAGGGGATGTTTGGCAATGTCTGGAGACATTTTTGGTCTTCACATTGCGGGGGGGGGGGGGGGGGGGGGGGGGGTTGCTACTGGCATCTAGTGAGTAGAAGCCAAGGATACTGCTACACATCAGGTAACACACACTGGACAAGCCCCCACAGCAAAGGATTATCTGGCTCAAAATGTCAGTAGTGCTGAGATTGAGAAACTTCAACCTAGTGGAAGCTAGGTGTTAGGCTCTGGGGTGGGACTTTACCTCTTTGCTGGCTGCCCCCCTCCAGCATCGTTCAGCAAATATTGATTACATGCTGGTATTATGTTGGCCTCCACCACATACCAAAGTTTGTTCTCTGTTAAGTATACTCATAAGATAGTGTCCCTGCCTGTAGAGGGTTTAGACTTTGGGATAGAGAAGCAATAATACCCTTTCCCATCAAACAATTAATGCAGGGTATTGGAAAATTTCCTGCAGGATCTTACTGGACTCAGAAATATGTGATTGAGCATAACATTGCCAGAACAGTAATTGTGGGTTTTAATACACTTGTGTCTGAAATGTTTTTCTTTAAAAAAATACATATGTCTATTTTGGTACCATAATAAGACTTTTTTTTTCTACATTTGGACTGCTACTGTGCATTCACAGCCAATGAAAGATAGCTTGACAGCTTTTACGATAACCTTTGGTCGGTGGGTTAGCACACCATTTAACAACGACCTCAGCCAGCACGCATTTTCCCATGTTATCCTAAATCATGTGGTATGATGTTATCTGCTCTATTCTTTCTTTGTGCCATTTACTCTGTGCAGTTTTGACCCACAATGATTTGTGATCTCTCCAGACATGCCACAAAGAAACAAAGGAATAGAATCGTGCTGGATATTAAAACTTGAGTTTTGTGGTGGTTCTTAAATACGCGTTTTATGGTGGTTCTTCGTACTCTAAAATTCATGTTCTCTGGTGGTTCTTAACACCTTCAGGGTGAAGGATCAGGAGGCAATTGGGAATTGGTAAAAGCCCGTAAACATCTCTGCAGTGGGAGGATCAACTCACAACTGTGAATGGGAGTTGCAAGAAATGATGACCAGAGATATTCCATGACTTTGGTGGCTTTGAAAACAGGGAAGTTCAATTGCCAAAGGACGGTGCTGGATGTACCTCCAAAGATACTATGTTATAACCATCCTACTTGGAGTTTATCTCAGCTAATGGTATCATTTTCATGAATGCATCCTGCAAGCTCTCATGCTAAACAAGGGATTCATGTACAGATAATAAGAGCTATCAGAGATTGGAGAAGGAAGAAATGGATACAGCTGGCTGAGATGGGTGTCACGCTCCTCAACCGTGGGTCTATGTGCACCTCTGTCATCACGCTGCATTTGAATTTGTTATTATCCTTATTATTTCTATTCGTTGGAGGGTGAGCTCTTTGAGAGCTCCTGGAGCTCTTTGTTCTTCATTGACTCTTTGCTGTCTAGTTTAATGAGGCATAGTTAAGCTCTAAAATTCTGTTTAGTTGAATTGAGTTGAACCAGCACAAGGGAATATATCTTGAAGAAGATGGGAATGAGTGGTTTGTCTGGCATCAGAAAAATCTCCAGACTCTGCCCATGGGACCCAGCCTACTTGGAAGTTGGAAGCCTCGGGGAGAGGATCTCCTATCATCAGGGATGAGGAAGGCAAGACAAGAGCTAAAAGGATGGGGGCGAGGGGCTCTTACCTGTCTCCATCTGCCCTTCTAGCCTGGGGAGTTTGGGAGGGGGTGGAAAAGAGGAATTGTTACACTGGGTCTGGGTTACGGCATGTGCAGTTTAGGGTTCTGTAACCCACAGAGGTCCCAATGCGGCTATGCTAGAAGCTGCCTCTGGAATCAACATTAGGTAACAAGCACCTCCATTATCCTGGAAAATTGAATACTTGCATATACTATAACCCAGAATCCAATGCCCGGGTGTATATGCCCCAAATAGATTTCAGCATATGTGTATCAGAAGACAGGTATAATAATGTTCATAATTCTTACAGATAGTAAAAGCAAAATTTTGGCATCAATTCAGTTGTCCACCAACAGAAAAATGGACAAATTGTGCAACTTTCACAGAATGGAATACAGTACGACAGTAAAAATTAACAAACCATAGTTAAAATGAAGCAACATAAAAAATATCGGGGCTATAACTTTGAGTGAAAAAAACAAGTCCCAGAAGATACCACACAGTGTGATGCCCTTTATACAAAGCTTAAGAACAAGTAAAACAAAAGAATATATTGTTTAGGCATTCACACATACGTAGGATAAACCTTTTAAAAAGGCATGAAAATGAAAATACCAAGATCAGAATAGTTACCTTTGAGGGGTTGACTGGGGAGATCATGAGGGAGAAATGCATAGGTAAATACAAATTATTAGTGATTTAAAAAAATCTTCTCTGAGTAGAAATTTAAGTCTCCTTTAAATCTATATCTCTCCGCACATCATCTTCAAATTCCTATGTGTTTTCTGCCTTTAGCTTTTCTTAGAGGTGATAAGAAGCCAAGTTTACCTCTTACAATGTGGAGTTGTTCCTTCCTTTATCGCTCCTCAAGGAACCATACCACCCTATTAAAGACTGTCCCACGTACCCTCGTATTGCTGGATTTGGTGAACCTTTGTTTGTTTGTTGACCTTAAAGTCATAACTATATATGTTTCATACATTTTCCCCAGCCTCAGTCAAGTCAGACAAACTAGCTCTTTTTTTTTTTTTGCAGTACTGAAGAAACTTCACTTAATCTAACATTTATGTACAGAGTATTGTGCTCTTAGAAAAAAAAAGAAGCCACTATATAGGGGAAAAGAATATAAATTTAACATGATCTCTGCTCTCAAAGAAGAATTTACTTGGGGCACCTGGATGGCTCAGTTGGTTAAGTGACCGACTCTTGATTTGGGCTCCGGTCATAATCTCGCACTCCATGTTGAGCCCCACGTTGGGTTTCTCTCTCTCTCTCTCTCTCTCTCTCTCTCTCTCTCTCTTTCTCAAAATAAATAAATAAACTTAAAAAAAAAGAGTTCCCTTGAAGTCTGTAAAGTCTAAGTTGATCACACTATATGTTACTTTATTCCTTTATACATCTGTGGGGAAAAAAACAACAGCCTCTGCACAGGAAACAGTAAACAGAGTGAAAGGGGAACCTCTGAAGTGGGAGAAAATATTTGCAAACCACGTATCTCGTAAGGCATTCACATCCAAAATATATAAGGAACTCATACAACTAAATAGCAAAAAACCAAATAACTTGATTTAAAAATGGGCAAAGGACTTGAATAGACACTTCTCGAAATAAAACCTACAAATGGCCATCAGGTATCTGAAGAGGTGCTCAACATCACCGGTCACCAGAGAAATGCAAATCTAACCCACTAGGAGATATCCCCTCGCACCTGTTAGAATGGCCACTATCAAAAAGACAAGAAGTGGGGTGTCTGTCTGGGTGTTTCAGTTGGTTGAGCTACTGACTCTTGATTTGGGCTCATGATCCCAATGTCGTGGGATCAGTCTGTTGGGCTCTGTGATGAGCATGGAGCCTGCTTAAGATTCTCTCTCGGAGCACCTGAAAGGCTAGTTGGTTGAGCGTCCGACTTAGGCTCAGGTCATGATCTCACGGTTTGTGGGTTCGAGCCCCATGTCGGGCTCTGTGCTGACAGCTCGGAGCCTGGAGCCCGCTTTGGATTCTGTGTCTCCCTCTCTCTCTGCCCCTCCCCCACTCATGCTCTGTCTCTGTCTCTCTCTCTCAAAACTAAATGGACATTAAAAAAAAAGAAGTTAAGAGGCGCCTGAGTGGCTCAGTCGGTTGAGTGTCCGACTTCAGCTGAGGTCATGATCTCATGATTCATGGGTTCGAGCTCCATGTGGGGCTCTGTGCTAATGTCACAGAGCCTGCTCGGAATTCTCTCTCTCCCTCCCTCTCTGCCCCTCCCTTCTCTCTCTCTCTCTCTCTCTCTCTCAAAATAAATGCACAAACATTTTT